ATTTTTATGCTATCTTCAAATTTATATTTCATTCAAAAATAAAAACATTATCATTTTCTCAAAACCACATAAAATCGTATTATATGGATAAAGACAAAGAATAAAAACTAAACATTAAAATAGGGTTTTTATTCTCGTTGTAATACACGAATACCCTTCTAATATATATAATAAAACTTCATATTTTTTGGATTGAAAACATAGCTTACCCACTTCACACAAGACATGTTAAAGCTTGTTTGTTTTGATTATTTATAGTTTGAAAAATGTGTCTTTTAATAATTGATGTTGACGTAATGTTAACATGGTGCATGTGAAATCATATCTTAAATATCTATTATGATTACATCTCAATGGTTTGACTCTAGAAAAAGTCAAACTTTGGTATTTTTAATCGATAGACATCTCTATCTATTAATTGTATACTTCTATACAACAAGATTCATTGCAAGTATTTCGCTTAATGATTGCATTGGACCAAAAAGTGTAAAAATGTTGAAAATACCAAGTATTATTGCACATGAATTAGTTAACTAAACAGGAGCTAACTAAGACTTAGGGGTCGTTTACCAAATACTTATCCGGGTAAGTGTTTACCAAGTCACGTTAACTCACCGGATAAATATGGTAAGGACCAAGAATCTTACCCGGTAAGAATGAGATAAAGACCAAGAATCTTACCCTGTAAGTGAGGGCGACGACTCTTACCACAATAAATGTTTACCGGGTAAATTGTTGCATACGATATCGTTTTGGTGGACTAAAATCTTACCCAGTAAGTAAATGATAGAGCTAAATTTTACCGTTAAGCACTTACCGAATAAGTGTTTTGTAAACGGCCCCTTAATTACATTATTTCACTCATGGTTTGGTATCTTCAAGGCGAGTAAGTTACATGTTTGGTCCTTGATAATCTTAAAATTTTTAGAGTTATTTGTCACTTTTTTAAATCACATTTTTCCCATTTAATACCCATTTGAACATTTAACTGCATCTTTTGTGTAAATTATTCCTACAGGTGAGAAATAACTAAAAGGTTCGGATTTTGAGTTGCTATGTCATGGACACTGTGGCGAACAACAACTTTAAAGATTTTGCAACAGGTTTTATTTTTAATTCAGTGAAATGAGGAGTAGGTTTAAGCTATGGTGAACTCTAGGATTTTCATGGAATACGAGAAAAATGAGACAAAAAAGATCAAGACAAATGAGGAAGAAGACAACATGAAACGTCCCTTTTATCTATATATTGATGTTTGGATTTTCATCGTGGAGCATGCCTTTGAACGTTGAATATCGGCTGAATACGTTTCATTTTGTTCTTGTATTTTCTTTAGCTTAGTTGTAATTTATTGTCATCATTTCAGTTATTTCCCTGTTGTGTCGACATAGTGGCCATAGTGTTGAATTTCAGTTTAATGCAATTTAACTTTGAGTACTTCATTTTCTTCTACTATGTCTTTTATCTTAACCATAAACTAAACCACCCTTTGGGTGTGGGTGTAAGCCAAACCCAACAGGTAAAATGTAACACTTTGGTGTACCAATTTTGGCTAACTTTTCGGCTTGGTCATTCAACTCGAAGCTTTAACTCAATGCGGACACGTAGATCTCTTGTTTGTGTTAATATTAGATCTTTGACCTAGATATAGGTGGATTTGAAATACGTCTTGAATTATGTAATGAGGTTTGAGAAAATCTTCAATGATCACATGGAAATATGGGTTGTTGCATAATCATTACGAAGGTTCAGATGTCAGCCGAGTTGTTGTGTCATAGAGATATATGCATCTCTCCATACTGGAGGAACTAAGACCATCCATATCTACTTAGTAAGGTTGGAAAACCGAAAGTTAGTAGTTGTGGCCGCTTTGTAACGATATCGTGGCCACATTCTCCACGGCTCAGCTTCGAGAGAAGGAAATTGTGTCCGGTTGTTTTTTGACCGGTTCTGTTAACCATTTAAGTCATTGTCATACTCAAGGTTCCCTCATCGGACCATTGTTGCCATAACATTCCGTCATCGAACCATTGTTGCGATGAAAACTCTAAAAGCGTTGTCAATAACAAACTCTCCGTTTCATTAAGAAAACTTAAGAAAAAAACAATTAAAAAAAACAATTTTTTTAAAATTCCCAATAAAAATAAAAAGGAATGCATAGCTGAATTAGTTTTCTCGAAATAAACTTGAAAAAAGAAATATGTCTTTAAAATCTATAGTCGTTGGGTTGGAATCAAAACCAATTCCAACCAAACAATAAAAAATATAGTTATGAAAAACCATGGTTGAAATCTATCAAAGTCAATCAAATGGTAAAACTTATAATTATGAAATACTTTTCTACATGTGTACAAAAGTATGAAAGATGGCTTTCAAATGTATAAGCATGGTTGAAATCAAAACCATTTTCATCCAAACAATGAAAATAATAGTAATGAAAAACCATGGTTGAAATCAAAGTCAACCAGATGGCAAAACCAATTAGTAATTTTTATATTTATTTTTATATCTTTATATATTTTAGAGTAGAACTTATAAGGGATGAGGTGACATCCTAAGGAGTGAGTATCCTTCATTTCTTGAATTGTGGTTGAGTTCTGTATATCCCACATTGATGGAGATATTAAAGATTTACAATGAATGGTGGTATAGGAAGGGAGGTTGAGATGTCTTTGTGGCAACTCATGAGGTTGGATCATCTTGACCGATCTTTAAACTCATATTATTGGTTTATTTTGTCAGACCCCTCGAGCTCATGGGTTGACTCATTTTGGTCAACCCCCTTTTAGCAAAAAAATGTTAACCATACAAAATAAATTGGCTAAAGTATAATTTTTGATCAACCCTCCTTTTGCAAAAAG